AGGAATTCAAAAAACAGCAAGTGCTGGGAAGGTTGTGGGGGTAAAGGAACTCTTCCATATTGTTGGTGGGAATGTAAACTAGCACAACCACTATGGAAATCAGTGTGGAGATTCCTCAAAAAACTGAACTAAGAAATTCCATTTTACTCAGCCATACTTCTGCCACTTCTGGATGTCTTCCCTAAGAGTTCACGTCATCCTATTACAATGATACATGTGTTCCCGTATCTATAGCAGCACAATTCACAATAACTGATTGTGGAAGCAGCCTGTTTGTCCATCAACAGGTGAATGAATGGATAAAGAAAATGTGGTAGATATACACAGTATATACTATTATGCCATAAAGAAGGATAAATTTGAGTTATCTGTAGGAAAATGGATGAACTTTGAGACCATAATTCAGAGTAAAATAAATCAGACATAGAAGGTCATGGTTTCTCTAATCTGAGAAATCCAAAATAAAAATAATTTAAAGAGCAAAATAAAAACAGATGGTAGGAACCAATGAGGTAGACCCTGTGGAAAGGGAAACAAGAAATGTGAGGGTAGAGAGAAGTAAAAATGATCGAGATGTCATCCATGTATGTACCAATTTCCCAAGATGAATGTAATAATTATGTATCTCAAAAATATACGAAAGAAAAAGATGTTTCTGATTCACTATTATAAAGAATAAAAACTAAAACCTGAATAGTGGCTTCTTTCTGTAGAAGTCCACCATTACTAAGTCAGTTAATTACCTGTTGGGGTGAGAAAGTGCCAGGAATCTGCAAACCTTGCTCACGTCTGATGATTACAGAAAACCCATTGTCTCTGCTGTTAAGTTTTGCCGGACACAAACATCCGGGGATGATGAGTGAACTCTGGGCCATGTCTGGCCATGACCGGCACAGGCAGGCAGTGTCCTACACCTGGAATAGCATTTGGCTCAGAAGGAGAGTGAGACCTCATCCGTGCTCTGCATGATCCACAGGTTCTTCAGTTACTCTTGGTCCCTGACTTTTTAATTGGATCTAATTTGACATCATAGTCAGCTCTTAAGGAAGAATACAATCACGTAGAGAACAGCTTTCGTGCAATGAGAGTTGCTCTCCTGTGAGCTGTCTCTGCTCCACACTGTCTCTGATGGCTCTCCACTCCAGGCCCTGCTACAAGAAATTTGACCCTGTCATATGAGCAGGCCGTTCTCACGCTGGCAGATGTGCTACGTCCCCAGTGCAGGGGCACCCAGAAAAGAGGACAGAGGGTGCCCGCCGAAACCCAGCCCCACTCTCCACAAATGGGGGACGAGAGCTATTACTCTGAAAATATTTATCCTTCTCCCTGGACCACACTTCCTGTAGAAGAGCTTAAAGTGATTCCCTTGAGAGTACAGAGAGGTGTTGGAATGGATCCTGCAGAACCTCCCAGTCTTGTAGCCCAAGACTGTTATCCAACACAACCTGCCCTACACAGCGACCTCACAGCGCAAGGGCGATGCTCCTCACACTCTGCTGCGGCCTGAATCCCCAAGGAGAGTTCACGACCCACTGCATTCTGATCTGGTCCTCAATGCACACCCAGCGGATCAGGTTTCCCAGGCCACCTGCGCGGTCCTTGAAAGAAGGTATTTTGGTCCGCAGGCAAGCAGAAGTGTGCTCTGAACGATGATCAAATCGTCAACTGGGATTCTGGATGAGTGAATTAACTCCCCACACTCAGAGCATCCCCACAATGCTACAGAAGAGATTCTGGTCCCACGCAGACCTCCCACAGCACAGACGCCTGAGGGATCTGGGCTGAGATACTGGCTCTTTATAAGCACATTGTGGGAGATACAACTCTGAAGGATCCCACTTCATCGTGCAGGATGCGGGGTCTCAGTTTCTCTCTGTGATCTCAGACAACCAGGCTCAAGCTTCAGGACGTCATGCCAGGAACCAGCAGACGAGGACAAAGGCATGCTTCCTTCTGTGTTTAGTCTGTGAGGCAACACTCAAGTTTGTGTTCACATCTAAGCGTACACATATGAAGTGTGATTGAAAACACAGTGAATGTTTAATTTTTTTTTTAAAATTGTATTGCTGTGAAAGACATGATGCCATTAATTCCTTCAAAATATTCCCCCTTGCTCTGAACACACTTATTTCATCTGGAAGTCCTCCTTCATGAGTGTCTTCAGTTGCACTGTTGTGGCTGCCTCAATGTCCTGAATCGATTCAAAACGCTTCCCTTTCATGGTCATTTTGACTTTGGGGAGGAGCCAGAAGTCACACAGTGCCAGACGGGTGACTGAACTGGATGAGGTCACACCATCGTGTTTTTATGAGCCTGCACGTCCACTGGCAGGCACTGGACAGCTGCACTCCCCATGTTCTTTACCATGCCTCAGACACAGCTCCTGAAAGAGGATTTCTAGAACTGCTTCAGAATCTGATAACAACAATGGAATAAATGCGTTTGAAGAGAGAAGTATTCTGCAGGAGATTAATGGCAGTATGTCTTTCACTGTAATATTTTTAAAATTTAAATATATACTGTATATTTTGATCCTATGTTGAATCATACATATGTGGGGTGATAAAAGTAATTTTTGCATTTTGGGAACATTAAAGAAAATACAGTTTGCGACCTACACACTGAGTGTGTGTGTGTATGTGTGTGTGTGTGTGTGTGTGTGTGAATACCATGTATAATTTTTGTTATTTTAAAAGGGACTGAATTTTAAATCACTCAGTAATTGATTTATCAGCATTTTTAAATGTTTCTTAATAAGTCTTTGCTCAAAGAGTTATCTTCTCCTTAGACTTCATAAAATGGAAACAGTACAATTAGCAAAGAACATCTCAGTTACTGCAGTCTCCTTCCGGATCCCTAGATTCTTTTAGCCTCCATAAAGGCAGGGAGGAGACAGGATGGAGGATGGATAGATGGACGGAAGGATGGAAGAAAGGAGGATGCGAGGGAGAGAAGAACAAAGTAAGAAAGGAGGCAAAGGATGCAGGCCTCAAGCCCTTGTCCTGCCGTGTGCTTCTGGCAAGACACAAAATCTCTTTTTTTCTTTGTTTCATGTTTGCTAGAATAATATTTCTTTGCCAAGGGTATGAATCCATAAATTAAAATAGAAGACATGAAAATTCTTTGTGTGCTACACAAACCCATACACTGCTCTCCAGCCTTGTTGAGGTGACACCGATGCTGCTGCACACAAACTGCCTGTGCTTCCCGTGCGCCATCTGAGAAGCCCTGAACACAGGTACACACCTGTGACACTATCACCATGGACAATCTCACTCCCACACCACCCTGTGCCCTGGCCTTGTCCTCTCTTATCCATGTCAACATTCTGTACTCTAGTCGTTTTGCCACCAGCACATCTGATGGACATGTAGTGGAATCTCACGGGGCTCCTAATTTGCATTTCCCAAGTGGCTTATAATGCTGAGCATATTTTGTTGAGAATATCTGCCATCCATCTGTCTTCTGCGGTGAAGTATTTTTGAAAGCCATGCTAATTTCTGTTGTGTTGTGTTCTTATTATGAGGTTTCAAACCCTGTTATATCTTCAGCACAAGACCTTTCTGAGGTATATATTTTGTTACAATTTGTCCTTGTCCCTGGCTTACATTGCTCACTTCAAGTCAAAATGATTTTAATAAAGTCAACACAGACTTTTTGTAGTTTACATTTGTCATGTTTTTTAAAAACTAGTCTTGTACTCCCAGGGAACTAAGAGCCTCCCTCATGTTTTCTTCTATATGTTTAGCAGTTTTAGATCTAACACTGAAGCCCATAATCTATTCCGTGTTAAGTTTCATATACTGTGTGAAGTCAGGGTAGAAGTTTATTTTTTGCTTAAGGCTATTCAATTTTTTCAGTGGCTATTTTGGAAAAGCCTATACTTTCCTCATTGAATTGGCTTTGAACATTGTCAAAAATAAATTAATCATATATGTTTGTGATCATTTCTGGGATCTTTTGTACCCACTGGCCTAAATGTCTATTTTTACATCAATCCTATACCATCTTGATTATTGTAGATTTATAATAAACCCTAAAATGTAGTAGTGTAAGATCTCCAAGTTGTGATTTTTCATTTTTTTCTTTCTTGTTTCTTTTCTTTTTCTCTCCCTCCCTCTCTCTATACATTCCCACAGCTGCTTGCTACCCTCTACAAAAACCTTGTGGAGCCTCTGGTGGTGGTTGCCCTGAACCTGTAGGTAATGAATTTGGGAGAATTATATATCTTTAAACCCACAAACAGAATCCTACTCTCCAGCCCTCTGGCCCTTCAATTCTCAACAATGTGTGATTTCTTTTCATGCCAAGGAGTGTATGTATTTATTCCATTGACTTCCAGGTATTTCATATTGTGATGTTATATTAAATGGTATTTTTCCAATTTCTGCCTGGATATTCCAAAATATATAAGAATACAATCTGTGTCTACCTCTCAGCCTCATGAATCATACCATCGCTAACCTACTCAGTAGTTCCATAGCTGTTTTGGGAGTGCCATATAATGTTCAGCATAAACCAAGAGAGTCCAGTACAAATACAGTGCCAGCCACCAGTAAGACCTGAATTTTTCCTGCAGCTGCATTAGAAGTGGACAAAATTAAATCCAATCACTTTATTATGTGACGAGCAAAAAAATTATGATTGAAAGAGCTGACAATCTTTCCTTTTTTCACACTTCATTTTCAAAAGCTGGTGTCTACCCAGGAGCACATTTTCATCCAAAACAGTCACATCGGAAACACTCAGTAGCCACACGGGGCTCGTGGTGACATCAGCAGTGGACAACGTGCAGGCCGGCAAGTGAAGACAGCTTCGTGCTTTATTTTCTTTCTTTCATTCTTTTTCTTTCTCTTCTCTTCTCCTCTTTTTTTCATTTTGTGGTATTAGGTATTGAACCCGGGGAGACCCTACCACTGTGCTTCATTCCCAGCCCTTTCTGTATTTTTTATTTTGAGACAGTCTCATTAAGTTGCAAAGTTGCCCAGGCTAGGCTCGAACTGATCACCATCCTGCCTCAGCTGTCAGTGGCATGGCTTCCTTCTTATTTTCTAACCTGAGTGTCCCTGATTTGCTCTTTGCTCTCATTAACAGGCCAGCGCAGGGCTGAGGGGCACCGAGAAGCACTGCCCTCACACCACTCCCCATCGCAGGGGGCAGCAGGCCCTCCTTCACCCTTCGTCTCACGCTGTATTTTTTGGAGTTGCCTTTATCAGTTTAAGGTACTGTGGCTCCTTGCTGTTCCAGATTGCTACAAGCTGTTATCAAGAACAGATGTGGGGTTTTATCAAATACCCCCACAGCATCTGCTGACAAGATGACCTAGTGCCTCCACTGAAACGATCACTAATGTGGTGAATCATAAAACTTAGCTTTTAATATTAAACTAACTTTGTGCTCAAGAGATAAATTACATTCGTTCATGTATATTTTCTTCTATATATACATTTTCTTTTCTATAAATATATACATACACATACAAATATGTGCTTATACATACATGTGTGTGTGCTGTTGGGTAAAATTTAATTAATAAATCTATATTAAAATTTTGTTTAGAATTTTTGTGTCTATGTTCATGAAAGATACTAGTCTATACAGTTTCCTTTCCTCGGAAGGTCTTCGGGTTTTGTACCAGAGTATCAGAGGAAACAGGGAAATGTTTCCTCTTCTGTTTTGTGGAATTCCTATAGTATTGGAATTATTTACTCTTTAAAGTTTGTTATGACTCAACCGAAAAGTCATACGGGCTTGGAGCTTCTTTGTATGAAAATATTTAGTTATTCAAATTATCCTATAATGATATAAGGCTAGACAAGGTTCATATTTTTCTTTTTCTTTTCTTTTTTTTTTTTTTGGCAGCACAGGGAATTGAACTCAGGACCTTCACATTGAACTACATCTTTAGCCCTTCATTTATTCTTTATTTTGAGACAGAGTCTCTCTAAGTTGATAGATTGCCCAAGCTGGACTGGAATTTGCAGTCCTCCTGCCTCATGGTTCATCCTTACTATTTTTTAAAAGTCTGTAGGATCTGTAATGATAACCCCTTATAAACTCTTGATACTGATATTTTACCTTCTATCTTCATTCCTCATCGGTCCAACTAGAGGTTTATGAATTTTACCAATCTTCTCAAAGAATCAGTTTTAGTTTCACTGTTTATCTCTGTTTTTTTTTCTATTTGCAATTTCTTATTTCCTGACCCTTATAATTTCCTTCCTTCTGATAATTTGCACTTCTTTTTTTCTGGTTTCTTAAAGTGGAAGCTTAAGTTACTGCTTAGAGCTCTTTCTTCTTTTTTAGTACAAATATTTAGTGTTACGAATGTCCCTCTAAGCAGCCCTACTGTAAGTGCATCTCACAAATTGGGATCCATGTTTTTATTTCACGGAGTTCAATATACTTTCTGATTTCCCTTGTAATTTTTTTTAGGACTCATGTGTTATTTAAAGAGGTTTGCTGAGTTTCCAGTTATTTACTAACTTTAAAGATTACTTTATAGCACTGATTTCTAATTTAACTATTTTGGGCAAAAAACCCCACAAAAAACAAAAACATACTTGTCATGGTAACAATCTTTTTAAACTAAGTGAGACTTTCATGGCCCAGAATATGGTCTACTCTTGGTAAATGCTCGATGCATATTTGAAAGAATGCACACTGTGCCTGGTTGGGTAGAATGTTCTATCTGTTAGGGCAGTGTGTTTAGTAGTTCTTTTCAATTCTCTTATTTCCTGACTGACTTTCTTTTTGTCCTATCTGCTGCTGAAGTCAGTGTGCTAAAACCGCAAGGAGAACTAGGTGTTGAAGGCGTGTCTTTGGAGCCTCTCTTGGCAGGCGTATGAACGTGAGTTGATTAGGTGCTTGGGACACACAGGTTTTCCTTCCCTTAGGGAAAATCTCTCCTCCCTAGAACTGTCTCCCAGGCTCTATGAGCGCCAGGAACCATCCTGTCCGGAGGTTCCTGAGCCCCAGTGGGCTCTTCCTGTCCGGCATTGGCCAAGATTGCTGAGGCCTGGGTGGGGGCTGGACACCCACTGCAGCTGTCTCCTCCCTCTGCAGCTCTGTCCTCTCGCCTCCCTGGCTGAAATTCTGTCCTGAGAATCGGGGCACTTTTGCTCCCAGCCCCAAGACCCAGAGCTCTGTTTCCTTAGCACAGAACAACTGCTGGGCTCTGGCTGCTTCCCTCTTCCTGGGCCATGGCCTGCAATGGTCAGGGCAGGAAGCTGAGAGCTCACCTCTTCTCTTTCCTTTCTCCTAGGGCTCAGTGTCCTGCAGCACCCTTTGACCACTGTCTCAAAACCATCGTTTCATATTTTATCCCATTTTTCAGCTGTTTCAAGTGGGAGAATAAGTTGTGTCTGTATTATTTCACCATGTTTGGATGTGATTATCCACAGCAGTATCAACTGACTTTGGAATGGGATTGGCATACCGCTGGTTTTAGAGAAATGCTTATTCATCTCAGCTTTGAATTTATTGGACAATAAAATTGCTAAAACCAACTTGCTGCAAAATTATTAAATTTAACACGATACGCATCCCTGCATAGAGTGGTATATATTAGTGGACCCTCAGGAGTCAAAGCGGCTCTTTAAAAGAAAAGCTGGATATAAGCAAGGGAGCAAAAACAGTCATAGATCATGTGTGGCAGGACTAAAAGATTTGCTTGGCAAACCAACTCCAACCCTGACACAAGACAGTTTTGTTGTGTCCTTGTTTTCTCCCCTTCCACCCCCACTGAGCAGAGATATACAGACACTTTTTAAATCTACGTTATCTAACTCATCTCCCTTTTCCACCAATTTCCTCTGCCCTGAAGCCTTCTCTACACTTCAGGTGGTGAGATGGCCCCTCCTGCCACCATAAACCTCCCTGGACAAGAAAAATAAGCGGTCCTCATGTCTGTAACCACCTGAAGCCAGGAGTTCAAATGTGGCACCTTCCACCTGAGAGCCACCTCCTGATTTCTCAGCCCCAGCCTCTACCTGACAGCCCACAGGCAGGCTGGCTCCCCAGATGGGCCAGTGGCCTCTGTCTCACAGACCCCTGTGTAGCAGGGCCCACCTCACCTTAATGCTCTGCTCTTGCAATTCTGAAATGCTCAGCACTTTTTGAACAAGGAGTCCTTTACCTTGAGCCTCACATCTATGTAGATTCTGAGCACAGATGAGGTCTAGATGTAAGTTTTATGTCTGGTAGGCCTTGAATCCTCCCACATAAGAGAAAAACTAGAAATACGATTTCACGACTCATACTGTATCAGTTGCTTCCTCGGTACAGTACCCGTGACCCGCCGGCAGAACTATGCTCCCTCTGCCTCAGGACGGGCCTGACGTAGAAATGGGGTCATTGTTGAGGTTGTTACTTACCATAAGGTCCTACTGGTGCAGGGTGACTGGTAACCTTTTAAGAGGGACCTGAGAAGACAGAGGGCTCTGACGACAGAGGCAGAGCCCCGGGTGACACAGCAGAAAGCCAGGGTACCTGTAATGCTCAGCAAACTACACAAAGCCAGGCAGAGATGAGGACAGGTTCCCCTACAACACCGAAGGGACTGTGGCCCTGCACCTTGTTCTCAGGCCACAGGTCTCCAGAACAGTGCGGCAATGTCTGCGGCCCCAAGCCACCCACGTCATGGTGCCTAGGACATCGGTGCAGTCCTGACCCACAATATAGCAAAACAGCATGTTAGCTCCAGGTCCGTACCCAGTCGCCTACCCGGTGAAGCTCCTCACTCCTAAGCCTCAGGCCTGGCCATCCTTCCAGTGTCCCTGTGTGTGGTCGGACTTTACAGAAGGGAAGAGGAGGCGGGACTTCAGTGTGCCCTCCATGACAGCCAGCCCAGGACTCATCCCGGCAGGCCCTGAGTGCACAGAGAACACCAGGGTCTCCCCATTCACTTGTGGTGAGGCTAGGATTCCACACGGCTGCAAACTCAATCCCAAAGCTGCTATGATGGGACTGCCCATGCCCCTTCCCGACTTCAAGGTGAAGCTCGGACACAAACAGCATGGAAAGGTGGGGCCTTCAGGAGGTGATGAAGCCTCGCAGACTGGCCTCTCATGAGGGGGACTGATACCCATAAAAGAGTCTTCAGAGGCCTGCCTCATTCTTTCATCTCCTCTGCCCGGTGAGGACACAGCACTCACGCCCTCTGCCCCATCCGCCTTCCAACATGTGAAGACCAGACGGTGGCGCCATCTTGGAAACAGACAGCAGTGTGCACCTTTATCTTGGACTTTCCAGCCTCCAAAACTGTGAGCAACAAATGTCCATTTTTGTAACTTACTTAGGCTGTGGTATTTTTTCAATAGCAGTACAAAGAAAGACAAAGGCCAAACAGGTCTAAAAAGTAAATGACAGGAACCCAATATTCTCCTAAGACCTCAGAGAGTTTTTACTCTGCTGATATGCTTTCCATGGGCTGGGGCTTGGGGACACAAGAGTCATAAGCAAGAAGATGCAAAGTTCCACCCCAAGGGAGCAGATAGTACAGTTGACAAGACAAACACAAGGAGTTATGTAAAACCCACACCTCTGCTAACACCTGAACTGAACCAACAAACCCTGAATTTGCAAACCACAAACTTAAGAGCTTAGTGGAGAAACATTCTTAAGGAAGCACTGAGAAGGCAGAATGGAGAGAAAATATCATGTTGATTATATACCACGCAGTATCCAACTTCCTTCCTGATGTTTATTTACCATGGATCACAAGGTTGCTGTAACAACATCTTTACTGGATTCGAAGTGTTCTCTCCTCCTTCCTATATGAGTTAGGTGAGGATGATATTAGTAGCCGCTGAGAAAAGGAAATTTGAAATACAGAAAACCGGAGTAGCTAAGTGAGGTGTTGCTTAGCAACTCTTAATAGGAAATAATTTAAACTCAAGATTTATTTTTTCCTGAGAACTTGCTGCTCTAGCTCAGGGTCTAACATTCATTTCTCTTCCTTCCAGCAGCTCTTTGCGCACATGCAGGTCTAGGCATAGAGCCCGACCTGCTGCAGACGGAGCGTGCTTGCCACCAGCACCTTCCACCCATCCCCAGGACTGCACCACCGCGGCCCCAACCCAGCAGAGTGGCTGCTGGGATCCTATGATAAACACAGACTCCCTAAAGGCAACTGTAAGCACAGTGCACATGGAATCCACTAGTGACCTGGAAGCCCAGGCCACATTTTTCCTCCCCTGTGAACTTTCAGCTCTTAGGGTAAGTGTTCTGGGGACACTGTGTGGCACCACAAAGACGTGTACATGAGGCGCAGACAACATACAAAGCAGGCACGACACAGGGAGAAGCTGTGATGGATCAGACTGGATCCAAACTGGGCCCGGGTGAGTCTGACAGACGTTTCCTGCAAGAAGAATGGTCCGTGGCAGGTGTGCAGGAGCTTAGACAGGCACAGGTGGAAAACTAGTGTAAAGTGGCAAAATGCTAAGGAATCTTACAACAAAATGAAATTTCTGTTTTAGTACAAAAGTAATAATTGATTCCCAAACATAATGAATGAAATACACACACACACACACACACACACACACACAGGGACTGCTGCTCCTTTGGTCAAATAACTCTTATTTCTCTTATATATTCATCCACAGAGTAAAACTGCTTCCAAATGAGAATACCAGCTGGCAATTCAGACAGTAATATTACTGAGTTTTTTATATCTCTGGAAAAAATCTGAATAACATCTAACCTAAAAGTGGTTTACAGAGAACACTCCAGAATTCCCAGCTTTATCCCTTCCCCATCACACAAGAATCTGTCATCTGCCCAGGCAGGACAGAGGGGAGTCCCCCGAGGTGACAGGTGGTGACAGGCACACGGAGGCCACTGTGATGGTTCAGAATGCCAAGTTCAAATGCTGGTTCTCCTCCTAGCTGTGGAACTTTGCAAAACTTTAACTTCTCTGGGCTTAGGCTTGCTTAGCAGCAAAATTCAAGCAACAGTAGTACTCACTTTATGGGCCCATGGAAGAAAGTAATTGTGTGTGTAAAAGAATTGGACAGTGCCTGGTATAGAGAGGACCTTGGAAGTATTTTCCATCATTCTTACAGTAGGGGAGACAAGTGAATAGATACATTGTTTATACTCTCATTAGGTTGGTTCCACAATTATTTGTAGGACAGCTATTAGTTTTGCATTGGTATTGATGGTTAACTGTGTTGTCAACTTGATGAGTAAGAATCGTCTAGCCAAAAAAAAAAAAAAAAGAATCATCTAGCCAATTACTAAAGCACAGTTCTGGGTGTGTCTGTGGATGACTGACAGGTAGGCCAGCAAATCAAGGAGGAAGGCCCACTTGGATGTGGGTGGCACCAACCAATAGGCTTGTAGCCCGTATGGGATAAAAAGAGGGAGAAGAAATCTGCCCTTTTTCTTCTTCAGAGGAGCTGGGGTCTTCACCATCACCTTCAGATATCCATTTCCAGTTCCCTTAGGCTTGAGCACAGACTCTGGCCTTCCCATACAGACCCTTCGGCTTTCTGACTGGGATTCGCACACTCTCTACAGTGAGTGCCTGGCCTTCGACCTTCCACTGGATCCTCCAGCTCTCCAGCGTGCATTCTTCTGCCCCAGATCCCGCCTAGGTAGTAAATCCTTTATATAATCATGTACACATTTTATAATAGATCTGTTCCTTTACTGAAACCTAAGTGATTCAACTAGAAATGGAGTGAGAAATAAAAACCTCCAAGACCACATGGTTCTTACAATCCCCACGGACATAGTAGTGCAGCTAAAAAAGGAGCAGAGAATGGCAGGGCCTGCTTATGGCCTGATAAGAGTCCGGTTAAGAAGCCAATCTTCAGAACCAGCTCCTTTGTCTTCTGAAGAAAAACATAGACAAGAATGCAGAGGAAGT